TGTTGGATGCGGGGGTGGGGGGGGGGGGGGGGGACTATTCCTTTAATCTAACTTTGTCATGGTGTGACTGTATTGGCAGCTGCTCATCCAATCAGAATTCAATCCATCTGTTTTCCAATGAAATTATTAACAGGAGTGTGGCTGCACTACTTATTTAATTACAAACAAACTCTTGCACTGAATATTGATCTTTTATGGCGCAAAAGTGTGCAAAAAAATGGAGGCACCATGTTATTATAATCTGCGCTGATATATCTTTAATTCCAGTCCGATGGCCGCATTATTGAACTGGAAAATTTTAAATCACACTGGCGTCGCCCAAAGGTCAGTAAACCCCATTGTCATCTTTAGGGACTCCACCCAGACAAATCCTGCGTTCATTCATTACACCATCCTCGCCTCAAATTCTGAATTAAACTAACATATAATTGCGGCCTCGTTCTTCAGACGCGGAAAACTTTGTGTAGCTGTTCCTGATGTTCGCTTATCAGACGCTAGCAAACAAGCTACTTTCACCTTATATGGATATCTGACTGGAAACCCAGGAACAAGAGAGATAAAGCTTCCATTGAATATAACACAAATTATGGAGATAGTCCCACTTGACAAACTCCAGCCACGAATCTTTAGGTGGACGCATTTATGAATAAGATTGCATTTATGTGCCCCACCCCTCACTTTACATTCATGGTTATATCACACAAAACATTTTTCAATGATGACAGGATTTACAAAGCGACTAAACATTTTCAGAGTTAAAATACGTTTCGAGTCAAAAACCACACAAACAACATGTAATTTATCATGTCATACAATCATATTTCACTACAACTATGCATTGCTACAAACCACTGTGCATGCATACAAGGTTTGTGGTTTTGATGCAAATACAGATTGCAGTCATCTGTGACGAACCGCTGTCATATGTTAGGCTACACATTATAGAAAAGGTGAAACAAAGGCACTTACAGTTCGTTTTCCTCTGGAAAGGTGCAGTTATGCCAAAAATAGTACAGGTTCTCTAATGCAGTCTCCGCGTCTATTTTTAATCCCTACAGTTTTATGGATAAATATCCCCCCTTTATGCGTATCTTTTCTGGATTTTTATCGCTTTAGGACGCGGTGTTGGCGTTAGGCATTATTCTGGTAATTCTAAGAAGCTCTCGTGGGGATGATCATCAGCGAATCTGATCTGCCCACATTAACTTTTTCCTATGTACCGACTCTTGACACACTTCCGGTTCACGCTTCCGCATTCTCCTGGCCGCTGGAGGTGGGACAAAATCGGTGGCCACTGATGACTAAACTGCTGTTAAGAGACCTGTAAATTTTTTCTTCAGCTTTTAATGTTTTAGGCGTTTTAATGACTTTTTTTGCCTTCTTTAATACATAGTTAGTGAACAACCTTAAATGGTCAGATGTGACAAATTACTTTTGGGTGAAATATTACATGTAGCTACTGCATCTTCTCATTTATAATAGTCATAAAATAGCATACCTAATAGAAAAAAAAAATGACAAAAGTACATTTTACTGTCAAAGTATTTCACAAAAAGTAAAAAAAAAAAATTTGATATAATGTTTAAAACCAAGATCAAAAACGTTTTTTTAATCTTCAAATATTTTAAATTCTAAATAATTTTTTTAAATATATTTGCTGAACATTAATGGACACTTTTTGGTTGTCAGGCTTGGAATGTGCATTTCTACATTCACAAAAAATTACCTTAGGACCAGCTGTACCAATAATATTCATTAGTTTTAAAAATATTTTAACATTTTAAAAAGTATTTGCATAAGTAGATCCAGGTTTTGTGGCATTTTGGAAATTATATTTAATCCATAAAATATCTGACCAAAAAAAAATCCTTAAACTCTCTAAATTACTTGGAATACTATCGATTAAAGTTTAATTAAGTTTAATTGCATATATAATTTGCTTTTTTTATTCATTCGTTTTTTATCCAGTTCAATGGTTACCTCACTTGTAAGGCAAAAAAGCCATTGGACAGTGATTAAATAAAAAGGTCAAACAATCAGCAGTCTAGTTGTACTGAAAACACCTTGGACTTACCAGTTAGCCTGTCTCCTTCACCTTCTCTTCTTGTATCTTTCTCTGTAGGCCTGTAAAAGTGTGTGATTTCGAAGATAACTTTTTCCTGCACTCTACTCCTGTTTCTTTCAGATGCACAGCTGTTGGACCCTCCCCCTACATGTCTCTTAAAGGAATGGCACCATCCCTCCATCTAAACAAGTTCTCTCTCGTTTGTCTTTCACGTATTACAAACCAAACACCTCTCTCTCTCTCTCCCTCCGTCTCGCCCCCTTTGGATTCTTTAAACATTCTTCATTCTATGACATCAACCCTGCCTGCCTTTCCTTGTAAGGGCAGAGTGGGTGAGAAAGAGAGCAAAAGAGAGGGAGGGAAAGTGGGAAAGATTAAGGAGGTTGGGGGTTTATTAGATACAGACACTTGGAATGGTTGGCAAGACACAGAAGGAAAGAGACAAGAACATGCAGTGCTCAGTGAGACGATCAAACTGACACAAAACCTGGAGTCTCGTATAAAAACAACACTTCTAAAGTCAAGTTAGTTTTAATAGTCGTGGTCAACCTCTATTTTGCTGCACACACTATTTTCCACAGCCGGTTCCAGTTTAATTCGAAGCAAACAGGGTCACCCGAACGGCATTAAAGGGATAGTCCACATAATATCATGAATATTCAATCACTATTTATATGTCCAAACCCATAAGACTGACTTTCTTCCATACAACACAAAAAAGAAGTTTAGCACAATGTATAAGCTGCTCTATTCCATTCAATGAAAGTGAATGGGACTAGAGGTTGTCGAGCTCCAAAAGGTATAAAAAGCACCATAAAGAATCAGAATAGTAGTCTGCACAATATGTGCACTATACTGTATATTCACAGCTGTCTGAAGCCATGTGTACTTAATTGTATTAAATGTGCACTTGCAGTGTACTTTAAATCCTAAAAGTACATGCTCTACTTACAAAGTACAACTGTACATGCAGATATAGCATAAAAGCCCATTTTCATGAGTGATTCGGTCCCACTTTATATTAGGTGGCCTTAACTACTACGTACTTCTATCAAAAAAGAAGTACAATGTACTTATTGTGTTTATATTGTATTGCAAAACACTTTTGCTGCTATTGAGGTGGGATACGGGTAAGGTTAGGGACAGGTTTGGTGGTATTGATAGGTTTAAGGGTGGGTTAAGGTGTAAGGGATGGGTCAATAGACATTTTAAAAAGTATTTGCATAAGTAGATCCAGGTTTTGTGGCATTTTGGAAATTATATTTAATCCATAAAATATCTGACCAAAAAAAAATCCTTAAACTCTCTAAATTACTTGGAATACTATCGATTAAAGTTTAATTAAGTTTAATTGCATATATAATTTGCTTTTTTTATTCATTCGTTTTTTATCCAGTTCAATGGTTACCTCACTTGTAAGGCAAAAAAGCCATTGGACAGTGATTAAATAAAAAGGTCAAACAATCAGCAGTCTAGTTGTACTGAAAACACCTTGGACTTACCAGTTAGCCTGTCTCCTTCACCTTCTCTTCTTGTATCTTTCTCTGTAGGCCTGTAAAAGTGTGTGATTTCGAAGATAACTTTTTCCTGCACTCTACTCCTGTTTCTTTCAGATGCACAGCTGTTGGACCCTCCCCCTACATGTCTCTTAAAGGAATGGCACCATCCCTCCATCTAAACAAGTTCTCTCTCGTTTGTCTTTCACGTATTACAAACCAAACACCTCTCTCTCTCTCTCCCTCCGTCTCGCCCCCTTTGGATTCTTTAAACATTCTTCATTCTATGACATCAACCCTGCCTGCCTTTCCTTGTAAGGGCAGAGTGGGTGAGAAAGAGAGCAAAAGAGAGGGAGGGAAAGTGGGAAAGATTAAGGAGGTTGGGGGTTTATTAGATACAGACACTTGGAATGGTTGGCAAGACACAGAAGGAAAGAGACAAGAACATGCAGTGCTCAGTGAGACGATCAAACTGACACAAAACCTGGAGTCTCGTATAAAAACAACACTTCTAAAGTCAAGTTAGTTTTAATAGTCGTGGTCAACCTCTATTTTGCTGCACACACTATTTTCCACAGCCGGTTCCAGTTTAATTCGAAGCAAACAGGGTCACCCGAACGGCATTAAAGGGATAGTCCACATAATATCATGAATATTCAATCACTATTTATATGTCCAAACCCATAAGACTGACTTTCTTCCATACAACACAAAAAAGAAGTTTAGCACAATGTATAAGCTGCTCTATTCCATTCAATGAAAGTGAATGGGACTAGAGGTTGTCGAGCTCCAAAAGGTATAAAAAGCACCATAAAGAATCAGAATAGTAGTCTGCACAATATGTGCACTATACTGTATATTCACAGCTGTCTGAAGCCATGTGTACTTAATTGTATTAAATGTGCACTTGCAGTGTACTTTAAATCCTAAAAGTACATGCTCTACTTACAAAGTACAACTGTACATGCAGATATAGCATAAAAGCCCATTTTCATGAGTGATTCGGTCCCACTTTATATTAGGTGGCCTTAACTACTACGTACTTCTATCAAAAAAGAAGTACAATGTACTTATTGTGTTTATATTGTATTGCAAAACACTTTTGCTGCTATTGAGGTGGGATACGGGTAAGGTTAGGGACAGGTTTGGTGGTATTGATAGGTTTAAGGGTGGGTTAAGGTGTAAGGGATGGGTCAATAGTGTAATTATAAATGTAATTACAGAAATTAATTACAGATGTAATTACATGCAGGTATTTTTAAAAATACAATAAGTATATTGTACCAAATTATTAATTTAAATGTAAGTATAGTTAAGGCCACCTAATATAAAGTGGGACCAGTGATTCTTAACAGACTTAAGTACACTTTGTCAAATTACTTTACTTTAAAGTACATTTCAAATTCTGTTTTAATAATCTTTAGTCATGCTTGATGTGTTGACTAACGTATTAAAGCACATGTAAAGAGCTTGATTATAATTGTAACTATAGTGTGTTATTCAGTATTACATTTAAGGTTATTATATATTAATACACTCTTTTGAAACTTAATCATTACAAAGGTGTAATTACAAATATATTAGCAATAATGAAATTACATATAAAGATGTACTACTTACTGCAAGTGGGACAAAAAACACTTTAAAGTTCAAATACAGTTAGGTCCATATATATTTGGACACTGACACAATTTTCATAATTTTGGCTCTGTATGCCACCAGAATGGAATGAAAATTAAACAATCAAGATGAAATTGAAGTGCAGACTTTAAGCTTTAATTCAAGGGGTTGAACAAAAATTTAACATCAAAAGTTTAGGAATTACAATCATTTTCATACACAGTCCCCCCATTTTCAGGGGCTCAAATGTAATTGGACAAATTTATATAATCATAAATAAAATGTTCATTTTTAATATTTTGTTGAGAATCCTTTGCAGGCAATGACTGCCTTAAACCTGGCACTCATGGACATCACCAGAGACTGGGTTTCCTCACTTGCTTCATTCCTGAATGATTCAGTTGTTCGAACGAATCAATTGAATGAATGATTCAGTGATAAAATCAGTGACTTGCCGCCACCTGCTGGCGGATTTAGTTTAATTTTTAGCGTATAATTTCAGTTATTTAAATCATATTTCTGTATTCAAAATTATGTATTTAGCTGTATTCAAAATTATGTATTCAGGCCTTTACTGCAGCTGACTTCAGTTGTTGTTTGTTTGTGGGTCTTTCTGCCTTTAGTTTTGTCTTTAACAAGTGAAATGCCTGCTCGATCGGGTTGAGATCAGGAGACGGACTTGGCCATTGCAGAATAATCCACTTTTTTACCTTCAAAAACTCCTGGGTTGCTTTTGCTGTATGTTTTGGGTCATCGTCCACTTGTACTATGAAGCGCCGTCCAATCAACTTTGCTGAATTTGACTGAATCTGGGAAGAGAGTATATCTGTTACCAGAGGCATACCTACATGTAGTGGGGGCCCCAGGCAAAATTAATCAGTGAGGCCCTTCTAAAATATTTGTGTTTTGTTTTTTGTTGTTTGTTAATGTATCTTTGTTACCTAGTGATATAATATATGTTATACAACATATATACATTCTAAAAAATGCAAGTGAACGAGTTGCAGCGAAGGTCATGAAAAGAATGTTTTGTTTAGTTGTGTATTTAGTCTGTGCGAGACACGAATAATATCGTTTGTGTAGCCTATGAATTCAAGCAC